TGTTTACATGGTACCGATACAATAGAGGAGTTTGTGTCTCTATGGAGCAACTTGTTTGAGAAGTACAAACTTCAAGACTATGATTGGCTATGTTATATGTATGACATTCGTGATCAATGGGTACCTGTATTTTTCAAGGAAATTTTCCTTGTTGGAATGTCGACAACGCAGCGTAGTGAAAGTATGAATAAATTCTTTGATGGTTATGTCCACTTACATACAACATTAAGTGAGTTTTTGAAGCAGTTTGAGAAGGCTATTGAGAATCGTCGCCAAAAGGAGAATAAACAAGAATATAAAACACTCAATGAGTAGCCTAATCTCAGAACTAGCTTTGGAATAGAGAAGCAAATTAGTGAGATTTACACAAGAAAAGTATTTAAGGAGTTCCAAGAAGAGATTTGGGCAAGTGCCTCCTATATTATCAATATAGTTTCTGAGGATGGCTATGTAAGTGTGTATGATGTTTCCAAGAGCAATGTTCATGAAGGTAAGATTTGGTCAATTACATATGATAAATCCTAAGAAAAAGCAATTTGTTCATGTCATAAATGGGAATTTTGAGGGATTATTTGTAGGCATATATTTTCACTACTTTTCAGATTGTGTGTAACAAAATTTCCAGAACACTATCTTTTGAAACGGTGGTCTACGACTGCAAAAAAAGGGGGATGGTACATGATGGGCATGGAATTGAAATTAGACTTGATTTGCAAAAAAAGTATTACTGTGCGTTTTAGCGATCTCTCTTATTTAGCCTATAAATGTATGCAAGCAGGAGCATTGTTTCACAGATCATATGAATTTGCTAGAGAAAATATGCAAAAATTGTTTGCAAGTATTAGTGCAATAAATGAGAAGGAAGCTTCCAAGAGTTGTACAATTGAAATAAATGTGAATGCTAATAACGAGTCTACACCGAATTGTAACACTCAAGTCATAGTGCGTGCTCCCCAAAAAGTACATACAAAAGGAAGTGGAAAAATAATCAAATCAAGTAAAGAAGAGCGACGAACTAAGCAAAGGACGTGTCATAGTTGTGGTGTACTTGGTCATAACATACGCACTTGCCCTAATGCAAAGGCAGGGTAATACCACTAACCATAATGTTGTGCATGTTCTATTCTTGCATTTATTTGTTGCAATACATGTTTATATTTTTTTTTTTGTTTTAATTTATTTGAGGGACAATGAATACATTTGAAGATCGTTTAGCATCTGAAGAAGCTCGCGCTAAAGCTACTGAAGCCGCCCAGAAAAGGCAAGAGCAATTTGAACAGTCTGTTGCAGGAAGAGTTGCGCATGCACAAGTAGCAGCAGCTACAAAACAATCTGCAAACACTAACAAGGGTGAACCAGTTCTTAAGTGGCAGATGGGATGGCCAGGCTTAGCTTTTTAAAGCTCAACTCTGGCCATTAACAAATAAATGAAAGGATTAGCCATGATCTATTCTGTTGCCAATCTGTCTCGTTTCAAAAGCAGACAGTTGGAATTTCTGGAGCAGGATACCCTCATGTTTTAGGTCTTCTCTAGATTAATTATCACTTAAGGAGAACTTGAAATGAAGTTTGAAATGTTGTCTTATGCTTGTCTTCTCTCTCTCTCTCTCTCTCATGGTGGCCAATGTTCTTTTTTTTTTTTTTTTTTGTTCTTTTAAATCTCTTTGGGTGATATTTGTAAATCAAAACTGCTATTATCTGTAGCTGTTTTTTTGGCTCTAGCTTATCCCGCAATGGTAAATGTTGTTGTACATCTAAAAAAAGAAGTTGTGGTTGTAGAATCTAGCTTAAGGTGTTTTACCAAAAAAATTGTGCAAGTTTGATCATTGATACCAATGTTTTACCGAAAAAATTGTACAAGTTTGATCATTGATACCAATGTTTTACCAAAAAAATTGTGCAAGTTTGATCATGGATGTTGTAACTTCAATGATAGTGGTTATTAACAAAACTTAATGTTCAGTTCAAAGCTATGCTACAATTTTTCCCTTTATGCTTGTTTTCAGTTGTAATGTTTCTCTATGAATAAAAGGATGGTGTCATTTGTTAGCCTGTTTGAATCTGCCAAAGACTGTTATTTATAAATTGAACTCCTTAATGGTAGTTTTATTTGGTCTAATCAATTGGATGTGAGAAGGTGGGCAATTGGGTGATTTGGTGGAATTTTTTAATGATACTTTGTATGAGGAGGTGGTAAATTCTATTGTTCAATTAACTGATTCTGATGATAAATTGATATGGCAGCTTACTACTGATGGTGATTTTCCTGTTAAGTCTGCCTGGAATTGGCTTCGGAGTCAAGGGGTGATGAATGAATCTTCTGTGGTTATTTGGAAGGTTGTAACTACTCCAAGTGCTCAATTTATTGGGTGGAAACTGCTATGGAAGGCATTGCCATTGGATGATAACTTTATGAGAATAGGTGTGTCTATTGTGAGTAAGTGTTGTCTGTGTTGCCAGAGTGTGGAGAATGACAATTATTCGTACTCTATTTTTTTTTTTAACTGATTCATACTCTGTTTGTTATGCAGATTTTTAGTATTCTTAGATTTCCAATAAAGAATATTAAGCCAAGAAGGTTAGATGATGTTGCTGGTAAATATTTCTTGTCTTTTTTACAAGTGAAGTCTTATTTACAAATGATTTATCGATGTATTTGGGTGAGATGGGTGACTCCTACTTATGAAACTATGAAATTAAACACTAATGGAATTGTAAAATAAAATTTTCATCAATTAAAAAATTATAAAATTGTGTTAGAATTTTTAATAGATGGGTAAAGATAAAAACCATCGGGTCATTTGGTCGATCCGTTAATATTTAAGAGAAGACTTTTTTTTTTTTATTTATTAACCTTTAAGACTAGATCACAATTACTAACTCATAGATATTTTCTATTTAATTAAGAACTAAATTAGGCAGGTTTTGATAATGAATATTGAGCATCTTTGTTTGGTAGCCATTAGATCGAGATCCAACGGTCTACGTAAAAGTTAACTACTAGACACTATGGTGCAAAGCTTTCATGATTGCGCTACTATATATATATATATATATATATATATATATATATACTTATATATATATATTTATATATATATACGTATATTTATACATATATATTATATATATACTCATATCTAAAGATCCAAAATTGTTCTCCTTGTTTCCAAACTTTTCAAAGAAAATTTTGAAAACAAGCTACACTTGTTTTCTATTTCTTTGACTCAAATCTCATTTTTTCGCAAAATTTAGAGAACAAAAATGTTAAACAAACAGGTTTTGGGTATTTTTGAAATTTTGAGAACAAAAAATCTGTTTCCGAGATGATAACCAAACACAGCCTTTACCTTTTTGAGGTCAAGGGTTTAAGTTCCCCTCTAATATATATATGTCTATATATATATATATATATAGGTGAGACTATGGTTGAAAAATCCAAGAAATCAATGAAAGTTTCAGTAGTGTTCGACGATGGAAGCAACGTAGAAGATAGGAAAGAAAAGGCAGAGAGAACAAATCGTCGAAGAAGACTTTTAACTTTGAATATTTTAAAAAGTAACCGTTGGAAATTTGATATAGGATTTTAGTCTCCCTCAATTTGGATTCAAAATGAGTTTTTTCTTGATTTCGTATAGATTTGAGTCCATGGTTGGAAAAGATTTTTAGATCATTTAGGGTCAGATTTAAATTTGAGTCAAAATGACCTAAAATATTTCTCTAACCTTAGATCCAAAATTATATAAGGGACTCAAATCCTATATCAAATTTCTAACGGTAATTGTTTATCTTATCCAAAACCAAAAGACACTTTTAAAGGAAAAAATTCTTGCCTACCATCACCGCCAACCACGCTGCCTCTCCCGCCTCTATTCTTTGAGAGTAACTTTTTACTCTCTCTCTCTCTCTATATATATATATATATGTATATTTCTACCTTTTTTCTCTCTCATAAACTCATTCTCAAAAAATCTCTCTCGTCTTTCGTTACAAGGAATTGAAGATAAGAAATACTGTTAGTTAATATGTAGTAGATATTTTAAAAAATTCCGTTGTTTTAGACGAACGTTGCTTTAGATGGTAAGAAACTCACGATTCTACAACTCAAAGATGTTTCTATTCCTGATTTTTCTTTTGGTTAATATTGGTAAAGTTTATAAGAAACATGTTTTAATATTGGGGAGTCTTTTATTTTCTTTTTTAATATTGGGGAGAGAATGAAGACAAGAAAATGAGAGAGGATAAAATATTTTGGTGGAAAAAATTAAAAAAATGAATATTGGGACAGTAAGAGAATTTTTTTTAAAATATTTGAATATATATTTGGGTCTATCATTGGAATATTCTATACTAAATCAAGTTTTTTACTAAAATTTAAAATCAAATTTGAATCTAAATTTGAGTCATTGTTGAAGATGTTAAAAAGAGATAACTCCTATTTTGGTTACCTACTACCAGTTGATTTAGATTGAGTAGATCTTATACCAGATTGACGTAACAAACAAGAAGGAATTGGGTGAGAAGACAAGATTAATAAGAAGAAACATAAGTTTAGGAGGACAAATAATACTCAATATCTCAATAAATAATCAAGTCTGTCTGCTTAAACTGAATACATCAGTATACGAGGATACATCATTGCTTTTATACGAGGATCCTCGTTCCAAAATTAAAGACCGATGAAACAACTCTATTATTGAAAGATGGTAGTTCCAATATTCCCCTTAAGGGTAAATAAATTCGGTAATTACAAAATTAATCAAAGAAAATAGGATTTTATTCCTAGAATTCATATCCGATCGAGCTTATCTAATGGTTTTACTATCCCCCCTCAAATGGTAGAATTTGGAACAACAGCAATTGTTGGACATTGAAAATCTCTCTGGTGATGATATGAAAAATTCAGAGCATGATATTTAAGTCCTGAGATCATCAATGGATCATCATCAATTGCCTTGTAAATTGTAATGGCTCTCATCATCATCATCGCTGCCTTGACCTCAATCAGTAAAATAGGGCAGCTCAATCTTCTTATCCCAAGAGCTATCCCCATCATCTTTATTGGGATTAAAGTCGTCATCGTCACCATCACCACCCTCATCATCTAGGGCATGTTTCTTCCCACTATGAGAAGCTTCTGCGGACATCCTCATAACTTCATGTTCTTCTTCTGCATCTTCTTCCGCTAGTAAATACGGTGGAGGTCGATCCAAGTCCCGGTGCTCCCACTGTTCAAAATCAACACTACATTCAAGGTAATTAGCGCCTGCCATTGCCAAAGCTTCAATGGAGATTGACATGGTATCAATGTGGAAAGGTGAACTGTGTATACTATATTGAGAACTAGATTATGTTTTGATTTCTTGAGAAAACGAGGTGAAACAAGACAAATATATATAGGATTTAGCATAGGAAAAATCAAACTGTATTGTCCTTAAGAATCATTGAACAGAAAGGAGTTCCATTTGAACACATATTGAAAACACAATATGCTCGTGATCATTCCGTTGACCTTGTTTTCTCTTCACCTCATAAGCATAATATGCTCGTAATGATGCAATATGCTCGTAATAGGTTACAATATGCTCGTAATGATGTCACCCATGAAGGAAGTTGGTAATGTTGTAATATTAGTATTGATAAAAGTAGCATTCCTTCAATGATTGAAATCATTGTCCAGGAAGGGTTTTTTGGACGTCTACATAATGTTATAATCCATTGGGTCAATAAGTTCATAGGTGTAATTTTTTGAGTCATTAAGGGACAAACAGGTGACAAAAGACCATAAATAAATTAAAATAAATAAAGATTTTAAAAAATCTCATGCAGATCTCTCTCATCTAAATTTTCTCTATCTCTTACACGGAGATCTCTCCGTTCAAGTTATTACATTCTCTCTTTCTCACACATCTCTCTTTTTTAACATAAATTTTCTCTCTCATATGCAAATCTCTCTCTCACGTATATAATAAAATTTATGAAATTAATAAATTTTTTGTCAAATTAAGGGAATGTAACAAATTTCAAATCAAGCCATTAAAAAAACAATAATTGAAGCTCAATTTTATCAAATAATCGCTCAAGAACAACATAATCTCATCATGTCTTTGCAAAGTACGAAAAATTGAACAAAATGAGCCAGAGATATTACTCTGTAATGTTTGGATTAAAAAACAATAATTGAAGCTCAATTGTATCAAATAATCGCTCAAGAACAACATAATCTCATCATGTCTTTGCAAAGTACGAAAAACTGAACAAAATGAGACAGAGATATTACTCTGTAATGTTTGGATTAATTATATTTTGGACTATGATCCTAATTTCACTTTATTCATTCACTAATCATTTAACCATAAAAACATCATTAACCATTCTAATTTATTATATTTTTATATGAAGCGCTAAATTTTGTTATGCACAAATTGTTAAATTTTGGATAAATGTAATCTACATGACTATTTTAAATGATTGAATATATTCAAACCAATAGTTGAGGGTTAAAAAAATCAAGATAGGTATAAAGTACATTTTTAAAAGTTTGAGAGAGCCATGCAAAATAAAACCAAAAACAAAGTTAGGGGTCCAAAACATAATTTTAAAAACTTGAAGGGGTTATAGCCCCCTTGGCCATAACACAGTTTCACCCCAGTATACAGTGGTTGTTTCACTGTGTCTATTGTCATCACTATTATTAAAATAAAATAAAAAAAAACTATTATTAAAATCAAACCGGATCGGTAGATTAACCCACTTAACCGGTCATTAGTATCTCAATTAGTTCGATTCTTAAAATAGATCGTTTGATCAGTTTAATTGTACCCGACCCATTCAAATCGGTTAAAATCTAAAAATTTTTATAAAGCCAGACAATTTTACAGAAATCCGGTTCACTTTCTGAACTTAATAAGATATTAAATCTTCATTTGACAAGTTCAATGCTAGACTTCAAAGCCATTAATATTAGGCCAGTCCTTCCCTCTTCTTTGGGATTCCGATGAGGGATCAAGAATGGTTTGCACTTTACAATGTTTTTTGGGCTTTTATTTGATCTTCTACAACATAAAACATGTTACTTTTATAATTATTATAATTTTTTAGCATATTCATTATTATTAATATTTTTTTATTATACGACCAATCTAACCAATTAACCCAATAGTTGAACCTGTGAATCATTGATTGTCCAGTTCGATTTAATAACTATGGTCGTTGTGGCCATCATTGTGGCTGTCAAAATTTTGATCCAAATCATAGTGTTTATGTGATGGTTGTTGCGTCAATGTGGATGTGTTGATATCATTGTGGATGAGTCATTGTGTCTGTCACTGTGTCACTGTAATTGTGTCACTGAGACTGTCACTGGGATCGTGTGTGGTGTGAGATGTGAGAAGAGATAACAGGACATAAGAGAGAGGAGAGAGAAAAGATATATTCAATGGTGTTACATAATCATAGTAGTAGAATATGCCTGATTAATTCAGGGTCAAAATAGAAGAAAAAAAAAGGTGGGGGTCTTATGGATCTGCTTACTAAATAGTGCATATCATGTATCCTTAATGACCTAATAAATTCGCGTTTGTGCTTAATGGTAAAATAGATTGTCATATTATACTTGCTTCTAATTTCCATATCTTTTAAGTATTAAAACAATCAATATGGGCTGAACTAGTTTAATTACTAAAGGCACATACCAAATAAACTCAATAACTAGAATTGGTAGAATTGTAATTGGGATTGGGATTTTGCAATCCTACAAGATTCGGATTATGATTCATGAATATCTTATGTGCTAAAATTTTTTCAAAAGACTTAGATCAATTTGTCTAATATACTCCTATGATTTGGATCAAAATTTTCATAACCATGCTGGAAATGAAAAGTTTCTGTTACATTCTGGCTTGCTCTTCTGACCATCCTCGAGTATGAGTTTTGTATTATAGTCTTCCATTAAGATTTCAGGAGAGATATCAAGCCGGGACAAAACACATTTTCCCTTATGATATAGACTTTAAGTTGGAAAATAAACTTGCCTTAGAGTTTTACTATGTTTTTATTGTGTCTTAATAAGGTGTGTTAGAGGGCTACTAGTATGTTAACATATATACCATGTAGTGGGCGAGTGCATTGTATTAGAAATGAGTTAATTCCCCAAGAAGTGGAGAAAGTGAATCTTAATGTTTTAGTAGTTACAAGAGCAAATGTAGATACCTTAATATAATGTTAATAGCTATTTATGGCCTAATATAAGTAGGGTATATGACCTAGTATTAGAAGTAAGTAAAGTTGCGTGAGTATGTTTTTTTTTTTATTTCCTTTTTTGGAAGGGGAAAGGAAGAAGAGAACTTGAACCCTTAATCTTAAAAAAACAAAATTTTTATAAAGTAAGGAGTATCATTGGACCAAAGATCCATTGATGCATGAGTATGTAAAGAGTTCAAGTTATGATTGTAATCTACTGCATATCATTTTATTTCTAATCCTCTCGACTTCAAACAAAGTAATATCAGAGTGATTTTCTAACCAAATTAACATTGGAGTAATTCCAACATTCAATAATCCTTTAACATCTTATAGAAAACAATTGGGTCAATCCTCCAACATTCAATAATCTTGGCAGACTGCTAGACCATTTGGATGATCTTCATTCATATCTTGGTGTCCAGATCATGAATTTGACAGTTTATCAATAAAGCTTGTCCCCCAGTTATAAAATAATCAGGTCAAAATTTGACTTTTTTAAGTCTGTTGTTCGTCAGCAGCTCCAAGTTGTTGATTAGTCGGTTGTTAGTTGATTGGTCGTAGGTCCAAATTCTTATTCACTTTTTTTGTATTTTAAAAAATATTATTAAAATCTAATTTGGGAACTTAATCCAATAATTTAAACACTTATATATATGTTGGATTAGAAGTAGGTCACATCTAATTTTAAAACTCATAATTATTCGAATAACTGCAATGAAATCAGTTCACAAATAGTGTTTTTATTATAACTTTGTGTTATTTTAAACCATAAGTTGACTGAAGAAGCCACTTAATTTAGCTAGTATGGCATATCTACTTGTTGACGATGCTTGGATTTATGGAATATGACATATCTCTTACTGCTGCATTAGATTGCTCTTAGTTATGCACATACTATTGTCAAGGCATCAATATGCGCTAGAGACAAGTAGACCATTGATATGAAAAAAAAAAGGTTCACCATGGACACAATAAGACTTCTTCCACCACACCAAAAATCTTAAACTTTTTCAACCAATTCTTCGGACCCTTTTCGTCCCCATGCGAATAATCTGGAGACTATGCATTTTTTTTGTTGATGGATTCTTTCTCGATGAGTATGGATTGAGCATATTTTGTCAATGACTCTTATGAGATATGTCGGCAAATCTCGGTTCATTGATTACAACCTTCTTATTGCCTCTCTTTGTTTGAATTCTTTATCAGAAATTTCAAAACAATTGATGCATATTGTTGAATCCATGCAAGCCAGAAACAAAAATTCAGATAATTTACACTTCAGCCTGATTATTACAGTTGTTTAAGAAGTTTTAATAAAGATAAAAAAAAAAAAACTTGATACACTATCTAAAATATTTCGAAATGAAATAATTTCTTATTTGAAGCAACTGCCTTAGTCCTTTACCTCATCTTTGCTTTAACCACCTTGCCATTGTCTACCAACCTATCAGCACCCTTTCTGTCTACCTCGGTTCTCGGATTTTGTTGATCGGCTAGAAGGTATGGAGATGGCTGTTCCGAGCCATAGCATTCCCATGCTTCAAGATTGATGGCACATTCCATGTAATCCCCGCCTACCATAACCAGAGCTTCAATTGACATTGCTTTCCACTGTGTTTTGTAAGATTGTCAATGAGATATTTTCAGGTGATTCCAAAGAGAGTAAAGGGAGCATTTATATACCAATGTTCTTTTTCCCTGTTATTGACAAAGTCAGGTTCGGGGGACAAAAAGAACTACAAATTGCTGATAATTTTCAAAAGAACGTATGACCTGCAGAATGAGTTTGAGGTCTTTCCCAATGTCAAGGATACCATGTTAAAAGTATATATTTTACCCACAGTTAAAATCACCACTAAAATTTAAAATATAATTTTTTAACGATTTATTGTCGTTAATAATTAATACATTAAAATGAAAAAAAAAACCTATCACATATTTGAAAGAATTTATTTTTCAATAATTTCAAATTTCACATATCTGCTATAGTTTGATCAATCAATATATATATCTAATAGAAAAAAAAACGACATAATAAACTCTCACCTGCGTAGGTAGTCAAGAACTTTCTTCTCCTAATGCCTACGCCATCCATGACGTTACCAGGGGGGCGCCCAACATATGTGGGGGCCCTAGGCGAAAAATATTAAATTAGACCCTAAAATTTTTATTATAATAATATATATATATATATATATATATATATATATATATATATATATATATATAATTTTAAAATAAGTTAAATATGTTATCTAATTTTTATTTTTATTTTTATTTTTTGAGATTCAAAAATATTAATTAAAATTTAAATTCGAGTTTAATACATTAAAATTTCATTAACAAGATTCGAATCTTCGACCAAATGTGATTAAGATAGTTATTTGTTGAAGATAAAAAGAAAGAAAAAAAAAGTTTAGACAAGCTAAAAAAAAAATTGGAATAAATATAAAAGTTAAAATTTGTATGAGTTTATTGGTCTTAGAATATATGAAGCACGCTTTAATATTGCGGAGAAGTGAAGCGATGTTAGGGTTTCTATTTGGGTTATTTTCATAAAAATGCATATTTGTCTTTTTGTTTTATCCCGTTTGTTAGGGTATTTTTGTAATATTGCGTAATTTTATTTTTTTTTAATAATTTAGGACCATTGGGATTTTTTATTTATATGGTGTTGAAAATTAATTCAGCAACTTTGATTTATTATGAATAAAACTTAGACACAAGTTCTCTTTCAATTTTCAATTAACTTGGTATTTTTATGAATCAACAAGACTTTTGAAGATTTTAATCTAATATTATTGCAATAATCAACAGATTATAATTTCTATTGTTTGATCTTATTTCTTTATTGACGCTACCCTCCGCTAGTTGGTATCAGAGCCTACATTCGTTCTTGCTATATGCCGCCAAGAAGACATCTTCTTGTTGTAATAGAGACCGTTGTCAGAGATGTGTATGAGCATGAGGAAGTTTCCAGATTATCACAACTGGTTGCGGCATTGACCATGTAGTTTGCTGCATTCATGACCCAACAATAAGAACTGGTTCAGCCTCTAAATCCGCTCCATGTGGATGAGGAATCTACTGGAGATGATCTTGAAAACCCTTTTGGTGAAGATTAACTCCAGAGGAAGCAGATGAGACCTATGGAAAACAACGGTGGTTCAAAACGATGGGAATTGGGCCTCAACATATATGTACGAAATTGCATGATAGTTTGCAATCAGAAGAATTTCTGGATTAGTTCAGTGCTATGGAGGATGTGTTGGAGTTTAAGGAAGTTCCTGATAATAAACGTATCCCACTCGTCGTGACTCTGTTTTGTGGTCGGGCTACGGCTTGGTGGCAATAGTCTAAACTTACACGAGTGTGACAAGGAAAGAAGAAGATTGATTTATGGGAGAAACTCAAGAAGCACATGCGCGCTGCATTTCTGTCCCATAACCACACGAGGACGATATATCAGAACCTGTAGAACTTAGGCCAAGGATCTTATACAGTGGATGAGTACACTAAGGAGTTCTATTAGTTGGTGGTCCGCAGTGATCTAGCAGAGACAGAAGAACATCTGGTATCACGTTATACCGGAAGTATGCTGTTCCATTTTCAAGATATTCTTAATTTATTTGACCCTTATTCTATTTCTGATGCACTATAGTTAGAAAAACAATTGAATCGTAAGTCGGGTAACACCGCCTAGGGTAGTTGTTTTTGCAGTGGGGTAAATGTTCCTTCCATTGCCCATGTTGCGCCACCACCATACAGGGGTGAAACATAATAGACCCGTGATGATAGCAGTAAAAGTATGATGTTCTAAGTGTGGCAAGGCTGGCCATAGGATGGCAGAATGCAAGAAGATTGATAGAACTGGGAAGAGGTTATTTGTTAACAGTGGAGACCTTATTGAGGATCAGACTGATTTGAGCAAGATCCCATGTTTGATGAAACTGAAGACAGTTAGTTCCAAGAGTAATATGTGACGGGTGACCATGGACCATAATTCGTTGTTCACAGAGCATGTTTCACACCTCAAGGAGTGCAGAGGGATAATTGGTTATGCAGTAATATCTTTCGGTCCAGATGCACAATCACCACCCACCCCGTCATTGCCACCAACGGTCAACATTGCCGCCAACCACCTCCATCCACCACCCAAAACAGTAAAAAACTAACCCAATATCCAACATCACCGCTAACCACTACTCACCACCAGCACCGCCCCCACCTACCATCGCCACCACCACCAACCACTGTCGCCACCATCACCACCCATCACCAAAATAGTAAAAAACTAGCCTATCACCCATAACCAACTATCGTCCCCAACCACCATCACCCACCACCCAAAATTGTGAAAAATTAGCTCATCATCACCACCACTAAAAATAGTGAAAAATTAATGAACAAAAATATTGAAAAAATATAAACAATGAACTTTAATATAATGAAACTCTTAATTAACAAATCAGTGAAAAATTAGCCCACCCAACCACCATCTCCACCAACCACCCCCACTCGCCAGCCACCACTCATCATTGTTGTCAACCACTACTATTCAAAACTGTGAAAAAATAGCCTACCACCATCTCTGCTAACCACCTCCACCATAATCTGCCACCACCACAGCCCATCATTGCTGTCGGCAACCACCAAAGTCACCACTACCACAAACCACCACCACCACCATAGCCCACTAATCTATTACCACCATCATCGTCGCCCACAACGACCATCATCACCATCAATGACCACCAACCAAAATCCACCACCACCCACCACCCATCGCTAACCACCACCAACCAAAATCTATTACAACCATCTGTCATCTAAAACAGTGAAAAATTAGTGAACTTAAAAATATTTTAAAAAATATAAATAGTGAATTTTAGTATAATAAAACTAGTAGTTAACAAAATTTTCATAAATAATAAATTTTAATATAATGAAACTCTTAGTTCACAAAATTTTCACAAACAATGAAATTTAATAGAATGAAATTCGTTGTTCACTGTATAAAATTTTTATAGACAGTAAAATTTAATAAAATGAAACTAATCATTACTTTTAAATTTTTTTACAAATAATGAACTACAAAGATATTGAAAATTTGAATTGTGAAACATATCTCAAAAGCAACAAACTCAAAAATATTGAAAAAAAATATAAATAATGAACTTTAATAGAATGAACCTCATAGTTCATAAAATTTTTCATTTCAAATTTTACTGTTTCAATGATGGTGCAAATAAATCAGGTCATTTCATTATTTACCTATTTTACTTGGTGTTGAAATATGAAAAATTTTAAAATAGTGAATTTCATTAAATTTTAATATCTCAGACAAGGAAAATTTAACTTATATCACTGTTTTGGTCATTAAAATTGGGACTTAATTTTATCTCATTTACTTGGTGTTGAAATATAGAAAATTTGAAAACAGTAAATTTCATCTAATTTTAATATCTTAGACACTAAAAATTCAAATTATTTACTAAAATATAGTTAATGGCATGAAAATTATCCATACCAAAAAATAGTGAACTCAAAATTAGTGAAAATAATAAACTCAAAAATAATAAAAATTAGTGAAATCAAAAATAGTGAAAAACAGTAAACTCAAAAATAATTTTAAAAAAATTATTGAAGTCAAAAATAGTGAAAAACTAGTGAACTCAAAAATTGTGAAAAATAGCGAAATCAAAAACATTAAAAATTTCTCAACCTAAAAACAGTGAAAAACAGTTGACCACAACATACTACCCCAAAATTTCCACAAATACTGAATTTTAATAGAATAAAACTCCCAATTTATTGTCCAAAAATTTCATAAACAATGAATTACAATCAATAACAAAATAGAAATCATTCAACAAGAGGGGCAAAGATTAGTGAAATTATGGATACAAAGAGTTATTACAATTTTGTCAAATTCAATTCATTGCAAGGGAAGGACACACTTATTTTTTGAATAATACAATTGCATGCAATTCACTGTAAGGTGAATACACCTAGTTCACTGTCCAAAACATGATATTAGGCCTTAGAAATGGAATGGACATTCCAAGGGAATACTTATTTTAATGTTTGGTTTGCGGAATTTAAAATTCATTCCCAAAGGAATACCTAATCCCACAAATTATGGGATTCGGCTTTACCAAATCCAACATGGTACTCTCCATTCATAATCCACTCGGTAATAGCCCAATACATCTAGAAAAAAACAAAACCTGATTGCTCAAATGTTTGCTCTCTCAGTCTCTTTCGTCTCATCTCATCTCCTCTCTCTCTCTCTCTATCTTCCTCTTGTACACTCATCAGATCTGCATTCTCTATCGCACACTCTCATCAGATATGTGTCTCTCTCTTTCTCTGAGATCTAAGACTCCATCTGTGTAGAGGCCCGCTGCTATCAATCTCGAAGCTTCACTCTCAACAAAAACAATGATAAGATTTGTTACAAAGAACAACTAAGATGAGCTCAAATCTAACATAATTTCAGGTAATTTTTAAATCTAACTTAGAATTTTGCAATTTTCTTCGGAAATATTTGCTTTATGCGTAATTTTTAGCTAACCTAGACCGAAATTTCTATGGCAATG